TGTCTACGGGTCGGCCCTCGGTCCCGGTCGATTCGGGCCGATTTTCATTGGTCGCCCATTCGTCTTGACACCTCTAAGTGGGAGCAAGTTGGTGGTGAGTAAATTGTACTCCTGCCCACCATGGGATGGAGAACAATCCTAATTTGAAAAATGAACAGGTGTTTTTCAATTTTGTGTTTTAGTACATTCTTGATACATATAACTGATAAGAGTAACATAAAAAGAAGTAAATATCCAACATACTTGCTATTTAATTTCTTTTCAGTAATCTGATATTAGTGTAAAAATATAAAAATGGTGAATAAATTAAAAAAATAGAAGAAGACATGCGACAACGTTTGTAAAACGTTGCAAAAACTAAGGATAAAAGAAAAGACAATGATCAAAAAATGTTGCGAAAAAGTGAACACAAAAGTAAAGGCAACATTCTAAAGATGCTAATAAATTAAAGATAATGTGCAAAAAAGTTGCAAATAGTTAGAGGCGTTTCTTGTGAAAAAGTGAACACAAAAGTAAAGGCAACATGGTAAAGATGCCAATAAATTAAAGACAATGTGCAAAAAAGTAGCAAATAGTTAAAGGCAGCTATCAGTGAATATTGCGTAAAGGTAAATACAAAAGTTTAGACAACATTTGTAAGATGTTGCAAATAACTTTTCTTCAATATTTTTTGAACGTTGCAAAAAACAAATTGCAACGTTCACATATGGCCTTTTGCAACGGTGTATAAACATTGTTGTATCTTTTTATTCTACGGTAAAATCCAAATTCACAATATACGTCCAAATGTTGCAAAAGGTCTTTTGCAACGTTTTTTAACGTTGTGAAAGACAATTTTTGTTGTAGTGTGAATTTATTTTCATCATTTCTAGATTCCATTGTTAACTTGTAGGTATTGACTGAGCAGGAACCATACTGATTTTATTACGAAACAAAGCGATCCACAATTTTTTGAAATAACAATTTTTTTTTTTAAAAAAATAGAAAAACAGTTCTGCCAACTTCCAATGGGGCACCCTTCATTACTTATACGATTTCTTAGAAGCGTATACGGTTTGTTGATCTAAAACGATATGAATATATGAGTTAGTGATGTTTTTTCTCCTACATGCCATGCCAAACGTGAATGCAAAGTGTTAGACAAATTGTTGTTAAACGACTTTTCGGGAGATGATGAATATCATTGTTTATTCAGTCAGTATCGACCACATGACTGAAGTAAAATATTGACAACACAATTATTCAAACCAATGCTACAACCTATTTGGACCATTTGAAGTAGCCTAATTTAATTAGTGTTACTCATGGCCCGACCCATAAATCTTAGATGACTTTTTAGGTTGATAGCCCATTTACCCTCTACCTATTATCTCTTGGGCCTAACTATTGTCTAACCTAAAAGCCCACTATTATCCTATATATGTCGACGGCCATTTTTGGCTTTGACAGTGTGTGAAATTGTTAATTGCTTGTCCCCTTTTGTGAGTGAAACCGGCAGCTTCATTCTGCTTCGTGTTTCCTACTTTGTGCCTTTCATTTTCATCTCTCTTTTAGCCCCTGTGGCTATTATTGTGGCTGCAATAATACTTCATACCGTGTCCTTAGTGGGCAAGCCAACAAGAAAGCAACCAGTTTTGGGAGTGTTTGTGGTTTTGGGTTTGATTACATTGTGGTGATTGATTGTTTATATTGACGGTATTCTGAGTCCGGAACACTTGGTGATCGATTATTTTCATTCAACACAAAGAAAGAG